GCTCGCTCCTTATTGAAAGGTCTTGGCTCTGTTTTAAGACAAATATGCCCACTTTTATTTGTTTTGTTCGCCGGCTATATTTTCATTATCTGAATTATAAATCCTGAAATCACCAGCCTGTCGGCTTTCATCGGTTCGCCTCTCCGTCCACACCGTCACTGCCGCGCTCTCAGCACACTGTGAAAGGCTGATGGCTTCATTAAGGGAGAAGCGCTCCGCTGCCCTCCGCCGGCGACAAAGGCGGCGCGTCAGGCAATTACTCATATCGTCCAGGAGGCTATAAGAGGCTTCATCTAAAGGTGCCAGGGGGATAGAAACATATGTAAAGTATCTCATCTGAAAGCGAGGCGAGGCCAGACCGCCGCTGATGCTTTTATTTCATTTACACTACAGAAGAGCTCAGCTTAGCTTTGATGCCGCTTGCCGATGAGTGAGCGTACTTCTCTGGATGCTGGGCAGGTTAGGAGTTTCAAGACGCTCCCAGAACACACAAATCCAGGGAACTCAAGTCCTCTTCTCGCCAGGCGTTTTTTGTCTGACCTCTGCTCCGCTTAACGAGATCATGCCTCTCTCATGAGAACGATGCAATGTAAATAACAGGTCAGGCTCCATCGGCTTAGGAGGACGGTGTGGGCGGCTTCATTGGTATGGCAATTCCTTCTGGTCATCGCTGAAGGTCAGCAGATAAATCGAACCTTCACAAAGCATATGTAATATCTGGAAGATGTTTCTCCTTAAGGTTTTAATAAGATTAAATGGCAGATATATTTGTATATTGTTATTCCAGTGTTTTAATGATCACTCTGGAAATAAATTAAATAGAACCTAAATGCCTCATAAAAATGGCTGTTAATCTTGTTCCAGTGGGGAGTCTAAGGGTGTTATAATGGTCCGGCTATTAAGTGAGAGCCGTGTCTGAATGAAAACCTTTCTCTCGTGGAAAATTGAATAATTCCCCTATTGCCAGAATTTTGCTATTGGGGTTCTTTGTTGAGTGATATTTCTCCCTCCCCCTCATTTCCTGTCGACTATTGGAGGAAGAAATAAATCGACCAGACAAATAGTTGTACAACTTGAAAATTACACCACACTTAGTAGACTAGAGAAGAAAACAAATGAGGCATTGAACCCTCAGAACACTGTGCTTACCTACTGCCAAGAACGGCAGCGGTAGCACCGTGCTCCGAGGCTGCTCTGCTGTGGTGCATTGCAGAAAATGGACGGAGTGGTGAAGAAGGAAGATAACCTGCAGAAACCATCAGCTCAACAGTAAAATATCGAATGCGCCTTGAGGTTACAAAAGGACGATGTTACTCAACACACTTTTAGGAGGGCAACATTAAATGTAGCTTTTGGAACGGCCTTTCCAAGTCCAAATTGTAATCCCATTAGCTCATCATAAAACGACTGTCAGAGGGACTGATAGTAGAAAAAGGTCAGCGCAGGTTAGATTGGTCAAATAAAGACTTTCACCCTGCAGACGCAGTTTGTGTCTGAAGTGCAACCAGGTCAACGTAGATTTCTTTTACCTTAGTTGTGTAACGTAACTAACGAAATAACAGCAGTTATGTAACAAGCAGGCTTATTTGAACCAAAACCAACCAAATCTCTCTCCCTCTCTCATCTTTCAGGTTTCTCTTCACTGCGTCACAAGATGAAGACGTGCTGCATTAAAGCCAACGTGCCACGACATCATTACGGGCCCCGAAGATCCATCAGCACAGCAGGGTTTTACAATCTAGCGTTGTTTGTAAGTCTCAGTCATGGTTTCCCATGATTGCGATTGTGACAGGTTAATGTTCCAGAGAGGGGACCCAGATGTTTTATCGCCGAGAGCCACACTGGACCGTGGCTGGAGCTAATCTGTGCGGGGACGGGGACGGGGACGCTGCTGGTCTCGCGGTCCTGTGGGAAAGAGACCATGAAATCCCATTTTCACTAGAGTTGAATCTATTAATGCCCGGAAACTGTTGTGCTGTGCAATTCCTTTCTAAAGTGGCTTGAACGTTGTTGAAATATTAAATGCGATTGTACTGCAAAGATTTGTGCTGCGCTGGAGAGGAGGTTTGGGCCATAAGTGCTTCGGGCACAGCGCCTACAAGAAAACTCATGTCTGCCTTACTTCCCCGAAAAACACAGAGCACATACAACGTGTACAGTAAAAGACTTTCATCCTTTTTAACCTTCATACAATCCCCTTGGAGATTTAAAACACAACCCGTGCCCAGACGGTCAATGGGGATGTAGTACAATGGGGATTTTCTGAGAGTTAATAAATAATTTCCCAGATTTTAGTCATAGATGTATGAATAAAAAACCTGAACATTCTAAGATTAAAAAGTCATACATTTATCAGAAAAAAGTTAAATCCTATGAGATTAAACTCTCAAATAACTCACTTTGCAAGGCTCAATCAACCTCATCAACAGACACCAACCATTCTGTCCATCAATGCATCCATCCATCTGTCCATCAATGCATCCATCCATCTGTCCATCAATGCATCCATCCATCTGTCTGTCTATCAATGCATCCATCCATCTGTCTGTCTATCAATGCATCCATCCATCTGTCTGTCTATCAATGCATCCATCCATCTGTCTGTCTATCAATGCATCCATCCATCTGTCCGTCTATCAATGCATCCATCCATCTGTCCATCAATGCATCCATCCATCTGTCTGTCTATCAATGCATCCATCCATCTGTCTGTCTATCAATGCATCCATCCATCTGTCCGTCTATCAATGCATCCATCTGTCTGTCTATCAATGCATCCATCCATCTGTCCGTCTATCAATGCATCCATCCATCTGTCCATCAATGCATCCATCCATCTGTCTGTCTATCAATGCATCCATCCATCTGTCTGTCTATCAATGCATCCATCCATCTGTCTGTCTATCAATGCATCCATCCATCTGTCCATCAATGCATCCATCCATCTGTCTGTCTATAAATGCATCCATCCATCTGTCAGTCTATCAATGCATCCATCCATCTGTCCATCAATGCATCCATCCATCCTTCCATCCATCCGTTTGTTCAGAGTGTGACACGGGACACAAAGAGGACGATGAAGAAACAAGCATTAGAATGTTTCAGCACCTCTTCCTCGCTCAGAGACCATCCTCACCACAATAAAACCACTTTAGGGGCAAATGAATTCAGAGCGTGGACAGTTTGTCCGTATGTGTTTGTCGTGACTATCTATTCTATCTCTGCACCACTACTCTCCCTGTAGTACAACACCACTGGATTACATGTCTGTACCCAAATATATCCAAATGGATTTGCCTCCATTTTTTTTGGATTTTACAATCTGTACAGCTTAGACTGCTCAGAAAAACGTTTTGTTCTAGCTTTTATAAATACAGCAGACCAGTTGGCCACTGGTTGTCCTTTCCCCCCAGCTTCAGCTCCCACCACCGGCTACGACGTCCCCTCGGTCTCGCCTGTTCCCAGTCCCTGGAGGCCCTGACTGGCTCATCATTTTCTACCTCATTAGTGTCAAAAGTAGCAGCGGGATCCATTTTTCTAGTTGTATCCAGCCGCTCCAGCTGTAGTCACCTCGTGTACATGAGAGCAATCTTCTGCAGTCTGGATGTCACGGTATAGAGATATTTATTTTAGAGAAAACTCTGTTTCTAAATCATTTTTCACGCTCAGTGAATCCCTTTGCATTGCAGATTTAAAAACTGCTTTTCCAGAGCGCTCGTCAGTGTTCAAAACCAACCTGAAGCTGAATCCCTGCAGCACTATCAAGTGGAACACTTCACGGAGAGACACATTAAGGGACAGGTGTTCAGGAGGGCTTCAGGTCAATAAGAGGACATCCCGTTAAACACACTTACTCCCGAAATAATCCCTCGGCTGCATTTCTGTTCACACTGAAAACACATTCAGACACACGTTGGATTGAATTAGTGGGAGAGGCCAAACGAATCGTCGCCTAGATGGGTCATTCGGTGTTTTGCTACACAACGCATCTCCCGGCTGAGCGCACACGACTGACAGCGGGCGCGTGACCGTCGCCTGTGTCACGGCCTCTGAGGTCGGCGAGCGTGGGTGGGCGACGCGGAGGGGAGAGCATTAGTCATCTCCGGAGGGACGGAGCGCTGATCCCACACCCGGGAAAACGGGAGGCCGCTCATGACTCACGCGGTCAGAGCTCAGGCGCCATTAGAATTAGCAGAGAGCCCGGCGAGTCCTGGACGACAGTCTGCAGAGGGGATGGATGAGGGCGGTGAAAGGGATCTACAACACGCACAGCAGGCCACCAAATGGACTGAGATGTTCCTCAAGTCATCATTACGTACGTCGCAGTGAACCGCTTCAGGAACTGAGCTAAACTCGTTCCTTCCCAGTATCCGTAACCTGGGACTGGGGGGCGTGGGGGGTCTGAGACACACCACCAGTCAGCCCGGTCCGTCCGAGGTGCCGAATGCATCAAATCTGAACCTGAACCTGACTACACCATGTTATTGTTGTTGGATTCAGAAGTATTCTGTCAAACAAGTAAATATATTAAGTAGACTTAATTATGTTTCAATCAAAAACTTACAACTACTTTAACGATTATTTTCATGATGAATTCATCTGCAGACAATCCAAACATAGTTTGAAAAACTACATAAAAAGACCAGAGATTAACGGCACGTACGAAAAAGTCTCGCTTGGATTTGTTTGATCTCCAGATAAAGATTTTCCTGATAAAATATCAAATAAGAAACAAAATGTTAAGGACTTCAGGACGATGCCTCGTCCTTTCGTGGTGGATAAATGAGTTGTAAAGACCTTTTACTTCAGACAATCCACCGGGCGAGAAGCAGAGTGAGCCTCTGGCACCAGGTCTTCAGGTCCCAGATGGAAGAGTTCTCGTGGAGACAACAGCACTGGCTCTTCTCAGTCTTCTCAAAGTGAGGACTCCGGGAGTTTGGAGGCAGCGGGGCTCCTCTACTAACTCTGCCCTCCCTCCAGCCCGAAACCCGCACACTCACCTGACTTTTGCGGCCACGGAAGATATCGCGTCGCTCCTCAGGTTCTTCCTTTTGGACACCGCAGTACCCATGCTGAAGTGGAAACGACCGCGGAGAGACACACGCCGACCATTCCACACGCTGACCGGCTGGGGAAGCGGAAGAAAAGAGGAGCAGACGCCACGCGGCGGTGGTCGGGGGGGCGGGGCGTACAAATCCTGCGTGTCCCGCGAGACGAGGCGATCAGCATCGTCTGTGCGGAGAGGAAGAGCCGCGCGTGATGGATGCGCTCTGCGCTCCGCTCGGCTCAGCGCTCCTCGTCCGACTGAGCCCCCCAGGAAGGAAACGCAGACCATAAAAGGGAAGGCGGGGGGGGGGTCAGTGGAGGTTGAGGAGGTGTGGACACTCGAGCCCACAAGTAATCTCGCAGTTTATCGTCAGCTTTCTCGCGGAAAACCGTATCATCCACGTGGGCGCTGTCTAACCCTCAAGGTGTCCGTATAGAAGCGCACTGTGAAAGCTCCGTGGGATTCGTACTGCGTGCATATTAGACAGCAGTCAGATCGGGAGTGAAACATTTGGTTCCCTTTAATAACAGTAGATGGAGATAGTTATTTGGATGCAACCTCTGGGACCACAAATCTCTTGATGATGTTTATGTCATCAGTGTTTTTGTAGGGTAATATCATACAGAATCGGTACAATTTGTATACCTTGCTTTCTTTAATGTTTTCTAATGTATGGCAGCGGTCAGCTAAGCAGCATAAAACCTGCTGCACATTGTCACGTACACGTTTCATTTCTATGAAGGCAAATCAAACTCAAAATCCCAGAACGCAAATCAGGTCCATGCGTGCGAGCAAAAGTTTGTTTTTCTGAAATTAGGGTTGTAGCTGGTTGTCAGGTGTCTTTTGTGTTTTAATGTTTTATTTCATAATTCTTTTTCTAATTATCTAATTTAGACTTTCAATGCCTTCTTTTCTGTGTGTGCGGAAATAAGGCTTCTGTAGTTCTGCGCATGTACAACTCAACAGAGATGAAATCCAGCCAATCCACAGATGAGGTTTGTAGCCAATTAGATGTAGAGAAACAGTAACTGGCTCCGCCCCCTGACTGTCGAGCCAGGGCTCAAGTTTCGTGACCGTCTTTTGCTTGCACATATTTGTGATTTGCGCACGCGTTGACATTGGTTTTCTTTTGTACGTCTCTGTTGAGACGGTAACACGTCTTTTTACCGAGAACGGCCGCCACCAGATCAGCGTGTTCATTATTTGCAGCGGTGTACTTACTCTATAGACGCATTCTCCTCCCCCGTGTGCGCGTGGTTAGCCCTTTTGAAGCTTGTGTTTGGCATTTTGGCCCAAGTACAAACGCTGTATGAGCCTTGATAGCAACCTGTCAATCAAAAAGGTGGCCACGCACCTAAAGCATTTACTTCATTGTGTTCTGGTTCATTCTACATGGACCATCATTTACTAAATGAACATCATTCTATAATGAAGAAGACTTTAATCTAGAGATTGAGACCATAAACTCATGTTTACAATGAGAGAAGAAATCTAGTGAGAAGTGGAGTCATTCTCTCGTAGGCTACATGCAAAAGCTACACAGGAGACGCCCCCTGGCGGCCAGTAGAGATGATGCAGGTTTGACGCACTTTTGGCTTCACTTTTCAGGACTGTACAGTACGTTGCCTCCTGCTGCTCCTATGCTGCAAAACCCAGAAATGGCCCACGGTGAGGGGAAATATGGTGTGAATATGAATGGGACGGCACCTGTCTGCTACATCTCACCTCCCCATGACAATGTCAAAATATAGGATTTACAATTGAGGACATTTTAGTTTTTAATCGCTGCTTAGAACGTCTTCCAGGCTCTTTCCTCATAAGATGAGAGGTCATTGTCAATAATGTAAAGAGGACAAAATAAATACCCACAATTGTACATCATTCATGTCACATCACGGCACCGTGATTTGTTGCACCAAAGTGCTGTTCCATTTGTGTTTACACCATTTAAAGCCCTCACAGACTCTCACACTCGACCACTTATCAGGTGACGTTAGTTAAGTCCCTGAGGGTTAGGGTTTAGGGAGGGGGGGTGCGTCCTATAATTACATAGGACACTAATCAGACAACAAGACACAGGTGGACAGGCACGAGGGCAGCCTGAAAGCTGATTGGTGGAAAACAAACACAAGGGACCATTGGCGAGACTGACGGGACCAATACGACACGTACAAAAAGTGAGCAGAAACCACGAGGACGGGAAGCCAAACGAACACAGGAGGCAGCGGGTCTCAAAATGAAATTGGAGAAAAAACTAAATCAATATCAAGGATGTCCAATCCCAGTGCAAGAGGACAAATAGCCTCGCTTCCACAACGACATGATCAAATGTGTTTTATTATGAGTATGTTGGTACCTGGTCTCATTGTGTGTGTTGCGCTATTGTTTTTATAGATCTGAATAGCTACTTGATGTTTCTCTCTCTGTGTGTAGTTCATCTTCATCTGAAAAATAGGACTGTGCTGGTTGTAATCAGCCACACAGAGCGACAGGTCCAGCCTCTCGTGTTGTAGTAGTACTCTACCTTGTGCCAACACATTAACCCTTTGCCAGGATCCCGTCTCATAGCAACCAGACACAAGCGAAGCTCAGCTGCGCCTGCAAAGCGTTCCCAGCTGGGCGATTTCAGAGACAGCCCGCTGTTCTCAGCTGGGAGAAAACATTTTTGTGGACGAGACCCCCTCAGCTATGGATGTTGTTTGTTTTGTTTTGTTTTTCTAGGGAGATGCTGATTCAGATCTGCGAACCATTTTCAACTGCAGTGCAATGAAAAGTGTTATTAACCCCAACTCCAAAAACAGTTTAGTAAAATGTGGTTTAAATGGCGTTAAACAAAGGGAACTCTGGCATTCTTACACCTTGTTGATGAGCTACGAGCTGCAATCGGGCGGCGCTGTGCACAGGAACATTGAGTAAGACTCCAGAGTGGTGACTGACAGGAGACAGAGAGAGGCAGCAGCACTGGGTCTATGTCTTCATATGTGTTTGAATAAGCAACTGCTATATTTGTACTAATGTGCCTTGTTACAAAAGTCCACAGTCATTTCGAATTAGATTTCACTACATACAGATTATTAAACAGAACGCTCCGGTCTCCATTTGCCTCTCTGCACGTTCTGTGCCTCTTGAAGCGGCGCCGAGAGGAAAGAAATCCTTCACCATCTGTGAACCAACATGAGTTGTGTTGACTGAGATTTCCGTGAAATGGCAACACAGACACTTCCTCAGACAGACACCAGACACGTCTTGTTTAGTGTGCCGGTAACTACACCTACCTCATACTATTTAATCCACCCTGTCATAACACCATCAGCACCTTTAGATTAAGTGCTGATTTGAATAAAGCAATAACAGACTGCCATTAGAATGTAGATTAACAAATGCAGAGCAAAGTAAACAAAGAGAGGATCGTGTGTCTTTCTTTTCCAGTCCCATCAAGGTGGGTACTGACCCGAGAATCAAGCAGAAAATCAATCCCACAACCAATATTCAATAAAAAATGCAATACATGCAAAGCTCATTGTGTGGACGTGTTGTCAGACGGACACTTGGCCTGTTACGATCACCAAAGATCCAGACTGAACCTTTAATGTGAACAAAAAGACGTGACTGCGCGTGACTCATCGTTGGCAACAGCGGAGCCGCGGCGTTGGACGTTCCCTTGCCGGTAGGTTGATCAGGTCCGTACCAAACAAGGGGCTTCTGAAGCATTGAACTCTAAAGGGAATACAGTTCTAACCTACGGGGTAAAACCCGGAAACCAGTACCATGGTCTTTTTGTTGTTTTGTCTATTTCCTCTTGTAGTTTGAAGTTCTTACCTCCTGTGTCCAGTTTGGCGTTACTTCCTGTCGTGGTCCTTTTCCCACCGGCTTTCCACCACACCTGCGTGTCTTTAGTGGATCAGCCTCTTGTGCATTTGACCTTATTTTTTCCGTTTCCTCCCCCCCCTTTTTTTCCCCCAGCTTTTGTTATCAAAGCTCATTTTCCTTTCAATTCAACCCGCGAGCATCAAGTCCTGCATTTGGGTCCTTCTTTGATCTGACACCGGACCACCAGGAAGAGGTGGGGGGGCTCTCACCTACAGGGCGTGAGGATGCACGGTGAGGAAGAGCTCATCGCACACTGTACGTGAGCACCAGCTCTCAGACTGTCGTACTTTGACCGAACACCAAAGCTGCCTTCTTGTCTTCAAATATTCCCATTAGGGTTCACATGAACTCAGCACGCATCTCCAACATGTCTTCCAGACTAAACGAAAAACCAGGCTGTTTGTTTGTGCAATATGATCTTTTTCTGGTCCATTGAAGTTTGACCGCAGTGATCACACAGAAATACTTGGAACGACCTAGACGGCGTTTAGGAAACCAAACTACATCCTTGCCAAAGAAGAAAGATCACGGTTTTGTCACGGTGTGGTTCACTTCCTGTTGTATTTTGTAGTTTTCTGCCACTTGTGTCCCCGGGTAACTTCACTTCCTGCCTTGTCCCGTCACGTGATCGTCTAATAGTTTCCACCTGTGTCCAATCCCCTGCACCTCCCTTGTGTATTTAAGCCGTGTGTCTCTTGTGTCACTTGTCGCGTCATTGTCTTTTGTCGTGGATGGCCGTAGTTTCCTGCCTGCTGGTTTTCCCCCTGGTTCCTGTGTGTTTTCGGCCTTTTGACTATTAAAGTCTTTTGTTTTCCAAGAAGTCTGCATTTGAGTCCTGCCTCCTCCACGCATCCTTGACAGGTTTGGGTTGAAATCAAATTGAACTCAACATTGAGTTTTGATTCCACGCAGAACTCAAACACTGGTCTCCTGTTATCCTTGGAACTTGTTTGTGCTCCACTACAAAGTTTCCTGATTCAGAAATCTCACATAACAAGTGGGCGAGGTCATTGTTTGTAAGCTGCGCTTTTGAGGCCTCATTTTGGCCGTCGAAAAAAATAAAATGGCAAAACCGTGATCAAGTTTGATTAAAGCTGCACACGTACACTGAAAACCTTCTCTTTTATTTCCGTCAAGAGTAAGGACCACCTTCACAGGCTGCTGCATACAGATGTAACTGCCATGTTTTATTGGAGTAATAAATCCCTTAAGTGCACGGGCGAAGAGTTGAGCTCTCTTCATCTAATTCACCAACGCCGCACGCTGTCAGAAAGCAAACAAGTTATAGTTCCGTCCCCCGAAACCACACAGTCACGGGGGAACACCCATCTGTTGCTGGACTGTGAAGAGATGGTGTTCTATGGCAAGAAGGTATATGACTCAAATACCCTTGTTTTCATTGTCAATTACCCCACAGCAGCAAACAGAACCAGGCCTTCACTT